CACTTTATAAATAAAAAAGATGTTTCTTCTGGCACATTGCCAACTCAACTTGGGAGCCAGAAAGTCAAATTCTGCTCTTGCTCATTATAGACAGTAAAAAAGGTGCTGCAACTGGAACACAGCAAAAAAATGATCTTGTTTAGGAAGCTTAGCCAGGGTTAGAAGCCTCTCCCTCCTGCAGCATAGCTGGCAGATGGATAGTTTATTGAGTTGGGTTTGAACTTATCAAAATTTAAGGAATGACTGTAACCTATCAGAAGAAAGCTCTCCTTCAGTATAACAGACTGTGCATATAAATATAGAGTGATGTGTGTGTGTGTATGTATTTATAATCATTACGGTAGAGTTGTGACCTGAACTACCTATTGCAGCTACAACTCTTGCAATGGGTTAAATTAAGCAGAAGCAATACACAAATGGTGGCTTACAATACCAGTAATTAATGTCAACAGTGTTGTGTAATTCTGTGATAGCTGCACCATTAATAAGTGTGAATGTCATTGTATTGGGTCAACAATTCAGAAATAACGGTCTTAGAAAAACAGCTAAATAAAGTACTGTAATGTTCCAAACATTCTAATCTCCTTGAGATGTTAATGTGTTGAAAAGCTATATTGTTTTAAATGGTAGCTAGCTTTGTCACAGCTGAGGTGATGTAATTATGTGCCGAAATGAGGAAAGCACTTATGCATACGTTTAAGTTCCAATGAGAGGTAAGCATATATTTCAAGTTCAGAATATTCTTAAGTGCTGTCCCAAACAGGGATGTGTCCCTGAATCACAATCAAAGCCAAGACCCAATAAAGCTGCTAATTACACTGCCAACATTCTATTCCAAGGGGTTTTAGTTTTGAAGAGGGGAAGAAAAATCACCCTTTCCTACCAGCAATAATGTATCATGTTCAGCTTACAAGTGAATTTATATTTTTAACACATTTCACAATAGTTGATCATGCTGCTTTATATATGAGCCCTAAACATCCTTTTCAAAATTCTAAGCTTTATTTTCCACATTACCCAATGCCAGATTAGATTTTGGATTGCAGCCTTTTTCTAGCAAGTGAGTTCCTACTGTGGGTACTAGTTATGACAATTTGGGTTTGTTTGTTTTAAAAAGAGAAAGGTTAAATATACAATGAATTACTAGTCCCTGTACAATTTAAATCCGTGATCCTGTAAACACTTAAGGGCAGAGTTCAGAGCCAGATTTTCAAGGGGCCAGATCCTCAAAAACACTCAGCACCCAAAATTCTGAGCCCTTTTGAAAGTCTGGCCGATGATGAAATTCAAGTATCGGAGTAGCCACTTTACAGGGAAACTGCTCAGATGCATAAAGTTAAACATGTTCATTAGTTTTTGCAAGGATCTCAATTACCTAAATGGAATGGAGGTATTCTGAAAAGCACTTCAGTGTTCTAGACCTCAGGGTTCCAATTAAGTAAAATTCTCTTGCTGAAACACAGAAATCGTAATTGCTAACATTTTTTTTGACAAGCCTGGTTTGCTTTCTCCTTGTGATAGGACCACTCCTTGTAAGGTGAATGAGATTTGGCTCAGTTGTTCATTACAAACTTTACTGGCCTAACTGAGTAGGAATAATGTCTCTATTGAAAATGCACAGTGGTATATTTTAATGTTTTAATTTTTAATCAACAATCAATTCAATACAGTATTAAAAGGTGCATAAAGCAAACCTGTGTTTGTATTGAATCATAGGAATTAGCGATGGAAAAGTTCTATTAGCTCATTTAGTCCTCCCACCTACTACTCGATAATTTATTTGGATCTCACCAAGAGGCGTTTCCCCCAATATTCAGGTTAAATTTAGACCATAGGCAGGGACCTTGCCTTCTTTTTGGTTTGTATAGTCTTATCTTCTTTAATTTACCTCTATTTTGTTACTTCTTGTACCACCTTAAATATTTTTTTTCACTCCTCTTTGCATCTTTCCGATACAAGTATGTCTCTCCTTAGCTATGTTATACATATTTAACTCTTGTATCCCTGAAAATATTGAGTTGCAATGACATGTGGAGATAATGTTTGTATGGCCTTCAGTTAGAAGCAACAGTAGATTGAATGGGCCAAAAGTATGTCTTTTAAAGATGCCCTTATTAAACAGTGCATGTTGCTGACAAAAATCTCAGTGCTGAATATCAAATGCAAATTGTTTTGGAGAAAGAAAAGAAAAGAAGTTGGGTAATGGGGGGTCAGGAGTCACTGGTTTTTAGCTTCCCCGTCCTCCACCAAAAATCTATTGTATGCTCTTTTTAAAAGATTACAGCTGGCTGCCTTCTTAATTCAATATTATTTTGGTAAGTTTTTGCCTGCTTTATTAATTTATTTAATGCAAATTACATATAGCTAAATAATGGTCAACTGTAAAACATGAGGATGTAATTCCATGCAGCGATGCTGATGATGTAATCATGAGAGAGAGTACTGTGGCTTGTGTAGTTTTTCCAAGTGACATCATAGGCCTTTAATTCACAGTGGGTTTGCCATCTTCCTTTTCCTTCTTTAAAATGGATCCTTCAGTAATGTGCAGCTGAGGAAATGTTAGCCCATTGCTATTCTGAAGATGCTTTGGCAGCCTACTTCCCATTTCTGCTGGGGCATCATGGGAAAATGTCCAGTAAAAGTGGGTCCAGTTTGGAGCAAAAAGGGCTTTGCACCAATAAAATGGATGAGGTAATATCTTTTATTGGACCAACTTCTGTTGGTGAGAGAGACAAGCTTTTTGAGCTTATGCTGAGCTCTTCTTCGAGTCTGGGAAACTAACTCAGAATGTCACAGCTAAATATAAGGTGGAACAGATTGTTTAGCGTTTCAAGTCAAGAGGCCCATTAATATCCCTTCAGTCACAGGGAGGAAAAGAAGGGGAGGGGAGCAGCTAGGGGGCAACTATTATAAGTGGGTTACGGATTGTTGTAATAAGCCATAAATCTAGTGTGTCTGTTCAGTCCATGATTTTTAGTGTCCAGCAGAGTTATGAATTTAAGCTTCCAGACTCATCTTTTGAAAGTGTTGTGTAGGTTTCCTATGAGGACTCATAGGTCAGATATAGGGTGATCGCTTTGTGAACAGTGTTCACCCATAGGTGATGTGGTGTTTTTGTCTTTTATCGTTTTCCTGTGTGAGCTCATTTGAGAGCATAGTGATTGTCAGTCACCCAGATACCACAGACTATGCTGCGAGGAGAAAGTCCAGGATATACACCTTGACACACTCAAAACTGCCTTCACCAAACAAGGACACTCCACCACAAAAATAGATCACATCATGGAATGGCCCACCCAAATACCTCAAGAGAACCTGCTTCAATACAGAAATAAAACCCCCTTTAATCGCACAGCCCTAGTTGTCACCTGCCCCTGCAAGGAACCCAGAGTATCAAACAACTACAAGCCATACACGATGAGAACTCCATCCTGAAATAAATCTTTCCTGAGCCCCCTCTTCTGGACTGCAAACAGCCCCCCAACCTCCCCAAGCTCATCATCAGAAGCAAGCTCCCCACAGACCAGGACAGCCAAATCAAAGCTGTACCAGACCCTGCCAGAACAACATGCAAAAACTGCAGACATATTTCCACTGCTACAATGATCAACACCCCCCGCCACACACACACACACACACCACAACACATCTTTCAAGATCCAGGAGTCCTACACATGCCTATCACAACATGTATTGTATCTATCCAGTGCACTAAATGCCCTAATAGCAACTATGTAGGGTGAAACCAGATAATCACTACACTCTCAAATGAATTCATACAGGGTGAATGCATCCTAATTAATGTAAATGTCTACAACCAGGGAGAGGAAATAAACAGTACAGACGCACAATGGGTCAGTCGGACCCATTGCATTAGAGAGAGAGAGAGTAAATTCCTTTAGCCTTAATTGGTGTTATTAATCCTGAGTTTTTATATCTCTGAGACCTAAAATCTTTGTATGAGTTGTAAATTTACTTAAGCATCTCCATGGGGAACAGAACATTGATAATAGAGGGCTCTTCAATCTACTGGCCAAAGATAAAACAAGATCCAGTGGCTGAAAGTTGAAGCTAGATAAATTCATCTTAGAAATAAGGTGCATATTTTCAACAGTGAGGGTAATTAACCATTGGAAGAATTTTCTGAAAGGCTGGGGTAAATTTTTTTCCATTTCTGAACATTTTAAAAACAAGATTGGGTGTTTTCTAAAAAGATATGCTCCAGCTCAAACAGGAGTTAATTCAGGGAAGTCCCATGACCTGTGTTATGCAGGAAAGTCAGACTGGTCCCTTCTGGCCTGATAATCTATGGATTTATTTAGTGGAGTGGAGTACCATTTACTTTAGGAAAGGGGTAGGGTGGGTTGGTTGGTTTGTATGGGAGGAGAGGTGTCCACAAGAAAAATCACTACTTAAAAAGAAGTCCACACTAGGGCAAAGTTTGAAAGCCACTGATGTACTTACACATTTTTCATCTGGATAGAAATTGAGTGTTTGGACTGTGTGACTTGAAAGACTGAGATTCAGCTTAGGGCAATACCTCCTAATGTTTTTTCATCTAACTGTATTTATTTCCTCAATAAGATTTCACCATAAATGATATTATTCAGAGAAGAAAACAATTTGTGTGAGAATGGAAAAGCAGCTGGGAATTGCTGATGTGAGTTTATCTGAAGTTTGACTAGAAATGCTCCATTAGGCTCTCTGCTGTGGCTATGGTCTTGTTTACAACTAAGCAATTTGGCTTCCAGGGGGAATTCTCATTGCTTGTACATAAATTATGGGTCAAATCCTCAACTGATATACGTTGAGGTAGCGCCATTGAACTCAGTAGAGCTATACCAATTTACACCAGCTCAGGATCTGGGTCTGCTTTTATATCTTCCTATGCACTTACTAAATGGAGCTTCCAGTTCTTTAGAAATGCACCTCTTACGACAATGTCTACTCAGAGTTCATTCAGCTTTAACAATTCTCCCATTGTTTGTGTTCCTTTGCAGCTTCCTTTGGTCTCTACTTCCCTAGGAAAGATTATTCGGAGACTGTCTACATTGATCAGCCAGCGGGTACGCCGCTACTGCACATCCGTGCCTTGAGGGATTCACATGGGGAGGTGGCCCACTTTCAGCTGTGCCAGCATCTCTTTATCTATCGTGTTGGAGCCTATGAAAATCATTGGTTTCAAATAAAAGAAAAAACCGGGCTTCTCTACCTCAATAAGAGTCTGGATAGAGGAGACTTCGATATCCTGTGTAAGTCTGAGAGGAGTAGTTGCAGTTGCGATAATGTCTAGAGTTGAAGCTAAGGACTTACATCTAATGGGATTTATCCAGCAGCATAGGAATAGCAAACCAATACTTAGGGATCAGACTGGAAGAACTGTTTACTTACATTAAATGAATTTTGGGATCGAAAAGAACCCTCAAATAGACACAATGGTATTAAAGCCATGTGGCAAAATGAACACTAAGGCCAAGAAGAAATTGGATTAGTTGTCAAATGGTGGAGTTTCATCGGGGAAGTTTCACCAGTTTAACTAAATCAACATAATGAACCTAGATTGGACCCCAAAAGAAGACACACTTAAACCATTTTTAATCCTTGCAAGTTTATCCTTATTTAGTAATTTACCAACATGTTATACCCATATATGTGTTGGTTAAAATTTTATTTCTGCATCAGTTCAGATAGACTGACTTTAGTTAAATTGGTGCAACTTTTCTAATATAAGCAAAACCTTTAATTGCAAAGACCCAGATACCTGGAGCACTTTTTGTATGGGGTAGTAAATGATCCTCTGATGAAGGGGTTAAGTGATGCCTATTTATATTACTTGGGATTGAAGTGAGGTTTTTTTGTAAGAACCATGTACCATTGAACCATAGAAACAAATTGTTTCCATTCTCCTCCTGCTTTTAATAGACAGAACCTATATCTTGGTGGTTTTGATCCCTGAGGAAATTAGGTAGCATTAGATGAGGGAGGAGAAAGTGGTGTAAGAAATTGAATGTCATAGCACTGCTGAAAAGGCCTTTACTTCTGGATCAGTTTCAAAGATTGGTAGGGTTCCACTATGGGGTAGTCTGAAGAAATAGGAGAACTTGTAAGAGCCGTATTGTCCACATTAGCCTGTAATTTTGGGTGGCTTGGTCCAACTTCAAACATGTAGAGCCTTATTTTAGAGGTGCTAAACATCAGGTATTGTCACTAAACTACTTGGTTCACTGTAGAATAATGGCTGATGGAAGGAAATTATTAAGAGGAATGTTTGCTTGTTTCTTTGTCAACTGTTTCTTTGTTTCTGTTCTTGCAGTTGGAAAAAATTGGATGTCATTACCAAAGGTGACATTTCATGTCTACCTTTCACCCCAGCCCTTCCAAGGGAAGGAATGTGAGACCCCCACGTCTGCCCTGGTGCATCTCTCCATCATCAACGCCACTGTACCAACTTGCAATGCTCTGATGTCAAGGGAGCTTTGTTTCTCAGAAATGGATCTCTCCTTTCACATCAAGGAGAATAAACCACCTGGCACATTTCATCAGCTTCAGTTACCCCCAATACATCACCTTTGCCAGAATGTCAGCATTTCCTACAAATTACTAGCAGGTAAAACTGGAGGTAAACCATTCAGTCGCCAGTCATATTCATGAGATTTTTAATAGAGCAGAACTCTCCTCTGGTGGTTATTCTACTCTGCTTCCACACAAGCCTTTCTGGGTTTCAGAGTGGTAGCTGTGTTAGTCTGTATCAGCAAAAAGAATGAGGAAGACTTGTGGCACCTTAGAGACTAACAAATTTATTTGAGCATAAGCTTTCTTGGGCTAAAACCCACTTCATCGGATGCATGCAGTGGAAGATACAGTAGGAAAATATATATACACAGAGAATGTGAAAAAATGGGTGTTGCCATACCAACTGTAACGAGCGTAATTAATTAAGGTGAGCTATTAGGTGAACTATGATCAGCAGAAGAAAAAAAACTTTTGTAGTGATAATCAGGATGGTCCATTTCCAACTGTTGACAAGGTGTGAGTAACAGTAGGGGGAAAAATAGCATGGGAAAACAGTTTTACTTTGTGTAAAAAGCAACAGAGGGTCCTGTGGCACCTTTAAGACTAACAGAAGTATTGGGAGCATAAGCTTTCTTGGGCTAAAACCCACTTCATCGGATGCATGCAGTGGAAGATACAGTAGGAAAATATATATACACAGAGAATGTGAAAAAATGGGTGTTGCCATACCAACTGTAACGAGCGTAATTAATTAAGGTGAGCTATTAGGT